AACTTATACATTACACGAATGCCCTATGATCTTCCAATCTTGTTGGTACCACCAAGGTTATAGAGATCCCGTTCCAACCGATCGTCGAAAGACAGTAGCCGTCGTACAAGTAGAATATTCAAAATTCGTCACCAGTGGGTTTCGAACCCCCTACCTGGCCGACATATCGCTTGGAGGTGTGACAACTTAACTACTTCACTAAGTCGCCACACCCTTCTATAAGCAATTAATTTAACTGATTCATATCAATATTTTTACTAATATTGTGTGCTTTTTTGCCTTTTGCTCTAACTTTCTGTACAGGAATAATATGTTGATCAATATTTTATTTATCATTATTACTAGTTTTTCAGTGCTTTATTGATTCAACTTGCACACGAATTTTTGCTCCACTTTTTACTCGTGCAAGTGGATTAACATTATGATTAATATCATAAAGAAATAATGTCAGTGCTAGAACAGATTTAGCTTTAGCTACATTGTATCGTTCAGCAAATTTATTAAAAGCAGTCTGAAGATTCGGACTACAATTTTCGTAATCATGTTTGATAATTTCAAGAAACGAGTTAAAAGAAGCAGAGTTATGTCTAAAAATAGATTGTTTTAGAAACTTTCATATAAAAAATCAAAATTAAGAATATAAAATATATACTCCAAAGTAGTTGAATTAATATCTAGTATTTCTGTTTTCTGGATTTTGTTACTTTCTTGAGGCACATTATTCAATTGTATTTTATATCTAAGATCTTCAGGTTTATTATTTGTACAAGCATGTAGTGATGTGTAAAAGGAATGATCATTTGACAAAAGTCCTTAAAATATTAAAATAATATTAATAAATTACTTTAATAGCCTTAATACGTATAATAATTAGTTAAATAATGAGTTAAATAATTAATCGCTTACGTACCAGATACAATGTATGCAAAAATTGCACAATCATAAGGCATTAATGATTGATAAAAATTTAATGATCCAATATTGTACTTTGTAGCTACTGCACCTTGATGTTTGCAAGGTGCACTAGATAATTCAATAAAACATATACATGTACAAATTTCAACATTGACAGTATAAAATAAATTAGTATTATTTTTTTGACTCAGAACTAGAAACTCTGAATCTATTTCAGATTGTCAAATTTTAGCTGCATTAATTGATTCCTATCCGGGATATAAGAAACGTTTGGCAATTTGAAGGTGACCAGGGTGACTATGTGCCAGTCCAAGTAATCGACACCCGTAGAATTTCTTCATGTTAGTAATAATAAAGTGAAATACTTAAACACTATTGTACGCTTGAGTGTGTGCAAATATAATGTCTTTCATTAATCTAAAACTATGTTCTATATAATTGTTTGTATTGTTTCCACATATAAGAAGTCTAGAACAAAATGATACAGCCCAGAATTGACGCCAAACCCAGAGCAATTCAAAATGCTTATGCAGCTGTGGATATACTGAATAATAGTTGGCCCTAAATTCATCATAAAATCTCCCTATTTCAATTTCTGTCTGTGAATATAATATTTTTCGCATAGATTTTATTATAGGCATTTTATATTCTTTACTTATATTATGCTTAGAATTATGTAACCAACGCCAGAATGCCTGAAGTACATGAAATATACATAATAATTGTTTTGACTGTGGCCAGCAATTCTTTAATGCAGTTCGTTCAGCATTCGAATCATCTGTAAAGAAAATCATAGGACCAAGATCAGGTCTACGACCAAAAAAAGCATGTGATGGAAGAAGTTGTTTTAGAAGATTAAACCTTTTTTCAAGAGTTATTTCTAACTCATCTGAGGTTATAATAAGACCAAGAGGTAATGCACCTGTGATGCAACTTGTATAAAATAAGGTGATTGAAGTATTTAATAGTTCAAATGATGCAGATGCATCTACATAACAGAGTTCACCTGCTTGTCTAATTTTTTTGTGAACACGACTCATTAAATTTGTAACTACACATAAAATAAATGCAGTATTTGATTGTGAATTATACTTCTGAAGTACTGTACGGCCTTGTCCTAAATTATTGTAATTGTCAACCTCATATTTAAGACGCTGAAACATTGTTATACCATTTTGTCCACCATGCTGTTCATCGCGATATTGTTTAAACAGATTTAATATATAACCATAATCAGGATTTTGCGCATGGTCAGCTAACAGTTGTATAAGTTCTTGATCATTGCTTGCATAAAGATAAATACTATTCTCATAAGTATATAGAGCTGTTGCTAGTGAATGCCCACTAGCAAAAAGATCAAGATACTTTTTGCGAACCTCTTCTTTAACAGGACGGAAACTAAGAGATTCAACAGAATTTAGAACATGGTTATGTACAAATTTAATGTTAACCTCAAGTGGATGGGTAGTTTGAAGGCGCCAACGTTCAAGCCGAAGACTAATTGTTGCTTTACATTCTGTATTTCTAATATGTGGTGAATAAGGCTTTTTTAATAATGGATTTCCCTGCTTTTGCTTAACTTGATTACTGTGAATACAGTGACGTAATTCACGAAGAATAACTTTTTTTTCCTTGGATTTGAAATCCTTTTGTTTCACGCATCGTTGCTTTTGATATTTCTTCATATTCGGAAAACTATTGATGTGTGCCTTCAACATTATCAACATTAGCAAAAATTTTTAATTCAAAATGATCAATTGAAAACCCTTCTAATGTAATATGTTTTGGAAATTGTTGAAATTCAGTAACCATATAATTATAGTTTTGTGGAAGAATAGCTGTGACATTTTCTGGTAATGATAGTTCTGAGGACTCTGGTATACTATCTTGTCTTTCTATATCAAGTAACATTTCCATTATATTACGTGCTCAAACAGAGTTAATTAATAAAACATTAATAATATAGACTTCAAAGGCCGTTTTTTTAATATCACGAGATATAGTCTAATACAGAATATGCCTTTACTGTTTGTTGATGTTTCTTGGTAAGTAACAATACTATTGCAGGTTTCTTGAGTCAGGTTTCTTGGGTCGTACTACAGGTATGAACGTTCGATTGCCCCTTTGTTTGTTTTCTACTTTTAGCAAATGAAAGACACTTTTTTTAATTTCCTTTTATATTA